ACCTAATGTGGGACGATTTACGCGAAAAGTTCAACAAAGTGAATCGTGTAAGAATTTTTCAATTGCATCGTGAAGTTACAACTTTGGCACAAGGAACTAGTTCTGTGTCTATATATTTTTCGAAATTGAAGGAACTTTGGCATGAGTATGATATTTTGGTTCCTTTCCCAAATTGGATTGAAAAATCGAAGGATCATGCAGAGCAATTGCATCAACAGAGAGTTATACAGTTTTTGTCTGGATTGAATGATTCGTATGATCAAGAAAGGAGACAAATTCTCATGAAAGCTAATGCTCCCTCTCTAAACCAGACCTATACAATGATTATTCAAGATGAAATCTAATAGACAATTGGTGCAAACCCAATAACTGATAAGATGGAAGCTATGCAGGCAGGAAGAGGAAGGGGAATATAGCAACTCCTTCAATGTGAATTCTGTCATTTGAAGGGGCATACAAAAGAGAATTGTTACAAAATTATAGGTTACCCTGTTGATTTGTTCCAAAGAGAAGATATGGTGAAGGTGTGAAGAATGCAAGTTGGCAACAAAATTCTAGTGTTGGAAAGCCAGGAGGATGGAATGCAGATGGTAAGTAGGGTGGTTGGAGAAGAGAGCCCATGGCAATGATCAATAATGTAGATGTGTCTTCATCATGCGTGCAAGGAAATGGAGATAATGCATTTAGAGCTACTGAAGCAAATGAAACTAGGGATACCACTACTTTACAGATGACCATTACAATCAGATATTGAACCTGCTGAGCAAGGAACCTGAAGAGCACCATGCCAACATGGCAAGTATAGGTATAGGTATAGGTATAGTTAGCTTCCTAATGACAAGTTATACACAAAATCAAAAGAACAAGGAGTGGATTATAAACTCAGGTGCCACACATCATATTACCTCTAATATAGAAATATTAATAGATACTAAATGCACATAAAAGACAGACAAGGATAGAGTACATCTTCCTACTGGGAGAAGGCTGACATTACCCATACTGATAGTACAACCTTATTATATAAGAGGATAATCAGAGATGTGTTTTATGTTCCAAACTTCAAGTTTACCTACTATCAGTGTCAAAGCTAACTAGGGAGCTGAATTGTAATGCAAACTTTTTTCTTGATTTTTGTATATTTCAAGACCTTTGGAATGGAAAGGTGAAGGGGATTGGTAAAGAAATAGGAGGTCTATATCTGCTCAAGGATGATCAATGTGGAAGACTAGCTAGTAGAATAAGGACTTCCAATACTGTGAGCAAGATGGCTAAAGCTTCTTGTGGCCTGTGGCACAAGAGACTAGGACATCCTTCCTTATCAGTGATGAAAAATATAGTAGGTCTACATTATAAGTAAGTAGTGTGCTACAAGATAGGTGCATTGTGTTTCCTTTGGCAAAACAAACTAGACTGAAATTTTCATTAAGTGATTCTAGAGCAGATACATTGTTTCATCTTGTGCATATGGATTTATGAGGACCTTATAAAATTGCTACTTTTGACAGAAAATAATACTTTTTGACAGTTGTGGATGACCATTCTAGATATACATGAATATTTTTTTTTGCAGTTAAAATCTGAAGCCACAGTAGTAATAAAAAAGTTCTTAACCATGCTTAGGAATCAGTTTGGCATTGTAGTTAAGGTGATAAGGTCAGATAATGGGATAGAGTTCTTCAACAAGCAATGTGCAGAGTTGTTGAATGCGCTGGGTATCATCCATCAAAGTAGCTGTCCATATACCCCACAGTAGAATGGGATAGTGGAGAGGAAGCATAGGCACATACTTGATACTGCAAGAGCCGTAAGGTTTGAGGGCTCAATTCCAATCAAATACTGGGGAATGTGTGTCAAAGCAACTGCCTACTTGATCAACAGACTACCATCCAATGTCCTAGGGGCAAGACTCCATATGAGGTCTTTATTGCAAGAAGCCTAGTCTTGCACACCTTCAAGTTGCAGGATATCTTTGGTATGCTACAAATGTGGTTAAGACAGATAAATTTGCAGAAAGGGCTAGAGCAGCTGTTCTTATGAAATATTCTGAAACCCAGAAAGGCTACATTTTATTTGACTTATCTACAAGGCAATTTTTCACGAGTAAGGATGTTGTTTTTAGAGAATCTGAGTTTCCATTTTCTAAGGAGAATGAGAACAATTCAGTCACTCAAGAGTGTGGAGGAGAAACCTTTACATACTAATATTTTGCAGGAAATAAGAAATTTAAATTCCATGGAGGAAGTAGTAGCTCTGCAGGACAATAGCAGAGTACAGTGCAAGAGATAGACTCATACTCATTGAATTTGCAGGAGATGGATGTTGCAGGAGTCCCTGAGAATGCACAGGAGAGATCAACCACAATTAAGAATACAGGAATTCCTGATAATGCACAGGAGAGATCAACCACAATTGAGGAACAGGAAAGAAATACAAACGAGCAGCAGAAAAATACAACAAGCTCAAGATCAGATAGAAAATCTACAAGGCAGGTCAAGGAACCAATATAGATAAAAGATTACGTGACAACCAAAAGGAACACAAATTGCAACTATCTTATATCAAATTACTTAGCCTATGACCAGACCATTCCACGCTACCAATGTTACTTAGCAAAATTCTCTCAGTTGACTGAACCATAGGTGTTCAAGGAGGCTGTGAAGGATAGTAGGTGGATAGAAGCAATGAAACAAGAAGTGAAGGCATTAGAAGACAACACATGAAAGGTGGTAGACTTACCAGCAGGGAATAATGCTGTTGGATCAAAGTGGGGTATATAAAATCAAGTTCAAGGCAGATGAAGACATAGAGAGGTTCAAAGTCAGACTGGTTGTAAAAGGATATAGTCAAAGGGAAGGCTTGGACTACCATGACACCTTCTCGCCAGTGACAAAAATGGTTACTATGAGGACTGTTATTGCATTGGCTGCTTCAAGAGGCAGGGGATTATACCAGATAGATGTTTATAATGCTTTCCTACAGGGAGATCTATATGAAGAATTGTATATGGAGTTCCCTAAAGGTTTTAGAAAGCCAAGAGACAAGAAGGTGTGCAAATTAATGAAGTCACTATATGGACTCAAGCAAGATTCAAGACAATAAAATATTAAACTGAGGCTTTATTGGGGGCTGGTTTTGTACAAAGCCATCATGACTATTCATTATTCACACTGAGGAGTCAAGAAGGTAAAGTGGTCATCCTTGTGTGTGTAGATGGTCTCCTCATCACAGGAAGTTGTGCAAATCTGATTAAGAAAGCCAAAGACATACAACATCAAAACTTTAAGGTGAAGGATTTGGGAGAATTGAAATATTTTCTGGAAATTAAAGTCCTAAGATCTAAGAAAGTAGTACTACTGAATAAGAGGAAACATGTGCTAGAAATGATATCAGACATGGAATTAAGTGGAGCTAAACCTGTATGCGCATCATTGGAAGTCAATTCAAAACTTACTTCAATAGAGTATGACAAAGCAAATGGAATCACATGGGACATGGCTTTACAAGATGTCCGCACTTATCAGAGGCTAGTAGGAAAACATTAATTATGTTGTACAAGCCTTGAGCTAGTTCATGCATGCACCAAAAACGTCTCATTGGGATGCTGCTTGGAGAGTGGTAAGATACTTGAAGAGTGCACATGCCAGGGTATATTACTGCAGTATGAATATGCTAAAGAGCTCACATGTTGGTGTGACTCAGATTGGGCTGCTTGTCTTAATAATAGAAGGTCTATTACTGGTTATGCTATCAAGTTTGGCAACTCATTGATCTCTTGGAAATCGAATAAGCAACAGACAGTTTCAAGGAGTTCAACTGAAGCAGAATACAAAATTATGGCTGCAAGTATTGCAGAATTGACTTGGCTACTTGGTTTATTTAAGGAGCTGGGTGTGAAAATAGAACGACCAGTCACAGTGCTCAGTGATAGTAAGTCAGCCATTCAACTAATAGCCAATCCTGTGCTTCATGAAAGAACAAAGCATATAGTGATCAACTGTCATTTCATTAGAGACAAAATCAAAGAAGGGATGGTAAATACAACACATGTCAGCACTAAGGAGCAGCAGGCAGATCTGTTAACTAAAGCTTTGGAAGTTGCTCAACATGATTATCTACTTGGCAAGCTTTGAGTGTTTAATATTTTGCACCCTCCAGCTTGAGGGGGCATGTTATGATATAAGCATGTGAGAGTTACATGGGTAGTTAATTAGTTAAGAGGGTAGTTAGTTGTTATAAGTAAGTTAAGGGTATTTTAGTCTTTTCAGCTTTTCTTTCTTCTTCTTCTTCTAGTATATATCGATTGTGTATAACAGTGTAAAGCTTAGGCTTGCTCATTTTCTCAATAACAGAATTCTGTTCTAGAATCTTCCTCCATTAACGAGTTCAAGCAGTCCTTACACATTTACCTTAATAAATCATATGTGTTTGTGCGAAATAGTGATAACCTTGAACATTAGCTATATGAAGCTTTATATAGGAGTGGCCTAAATTCTTTTCCATTTGTAGCTTCAAACCTTAAAATAATTCGGACTTAAGGAAAACAAATCCTAAAAGGATTTTATTTTCTTTCAATTAAAGACTCTTTCACAGGATTTCCTTTTCATGCAAGTATTCGCATAATTAATGAATTCGTGTTAAACATAAATTCTTTCAGCTAGTATTTTCTTGTAGCAACAGAATCTCTCCAATTATCAATAGGAATCGTTTAAACCAACCTGCACTAGAAAATACTCTTCAGCTTCTAATCAACAAACTTCAAGCGGCCTGCTAGTTTGCAAATGTTTATTAATCATCAAAATAAATTAAGCTCATCTCAACAAAAAATTGGTTATTTTTGAATGACCAGTCCGAAAATTGGCTAGACCGTGCTATTTTAACAAACAAAAAAAACATCACGAGGTGGGCTAACAATGATAGGAGTTTAACTTCAATATATCAATAATGTTAATAATTTTATACTACTAAATCACTTAAATGAAAACACAGGTAGCTCTCAATAAAAGATTATTTTAGTAAACTGAAAAATAAGGCATAGTATTTCATATAACAACAGGTTAAAATGTCCATAATATTTCTAGTAAGAAACTTCAAATTTTAGAAAACAGTATGACTGAGAAGCCTCCTCTATGTTCTCCTAGGATGATGTGATGAACCCTTGTACATTCCTTTTTGTGAGAAATTTGGTCTTCTACTCACTCGAATTTTCTCATTATTGTGCCCAAATTTGAGCCTTTTCTTTGGGTGGATAGAATCATTAACAATCTCCACTTGCATTCGATGACTCTTTGGCCTCAAAGATTTTCTCATATGCTCTTTCCTATGCTCCCTAATCGATCTTCTTCTTCTTCTTCTTCTCCCATCAATTTTTCTAGATGAAAAGCTCCCTTCACCTTCTTCTTCACTACACGTGCTAGATATATTCACTACTCCTTCAATGTCAGATTTTTGACGTCTTCTAGTTGTAAGAAGAAGTTGCTGAAGCTTGAAACAGAGGAAAGTGCAACAGCAATCTAAGACTGAGAAACAAGTGGAGAAGCAAGCCCAAGTACATCTACACAGTATGTGACAAATGCACTGACAAATTCCCAACTTGTAAAGTAAGTAGAGGAATAAGACAACTGCACATAACCAAAGGAAACTTGATGTAATCACACTCCCAATAACTTGTAACATTAACTATGATGTGTTAGTGCCTGAGAAAATATATGTACCAATTCATTCAACGCAATCAAAGGGGCCAAAAATATGTGAAATATTTTAATTTCATCATCCGGTACGTACACTTTCAGTTCATCGTATCCTTGTTGTCAGCAAATCGTCTAGTATTTGTCCTTGATCCAAAATCCAAATGTTTGAATATGATTTGCCCGTCTAATTTTGATTATGATTTAAAAATAATCTATAATTTTTTATTTTGGACCTACATTAGGGTCAAGTGAAGATAAGAGGTCATTTATTAACAACAAAGATATAAATGGTCCTTAATTATAATAGAGGATAAAATTAAGATATTTTGCACATTAGAAAAGTATTTAAATAATTTTCCTATAACAATTCAATCCAGATAATAAAAAAATAGTTAATCTATGGAAACCCTTCACGTGAATTCATACTCTTTTCCCGAAACCATGCATAATAATATTATTTTTTTTTTAAAATTACTTAAATATATGTGTGCGCACCCATGCTTAAAGACTCATATGGTGCAATAATTATTGGGTGCACATCTACAAGTGAAATTGGCGGTTCAACGCCCACTTCGGATTGTCTTGTTTTCGGCACAGAGTACAAATATATGCATATATATAAATCACTAAAATTTCAATAAATATATAATTTTGAACCGATAATTTTAAAAGTATAGTAGGTCCATGGTAAGAGACTAAAGCGAAACTCGTCAAATATAAATTTTAAATACACCTTTTCACAAAAGTGCGCTCATCATCTTGAAATTCTGGATCCGCGACTGATCATTCCAGGCATATTTTCCGAAAGTTTAAAGATATCGTATTAGTAACTTTGCAAAGCTTCTATACAGGTTATTGGGTCCAATGTGCACATGAGTAGCTTTTCATTTGTTACTACATAAAAAGTCACATTCAATCAATATTACAAAATTGGGTGCAATGTGCAATCTCTGCTTGTAATGTGTGTAAACCTTAAAAATTGCTTTGAACAGATTGTAAGCCATGAGAACCAAGTATTGTAATGTAGAAACTCACCGAAATATAATAGGATTGACACCATGGCCGATTTGAGCAGTTGAGAAATGCAAAAATTCTCTATGTAACATAGAAAATCCCATGTTGGGGCACATACAGAGCTGAACAATTAATATCAAAAATATAAAATTGTGACAACACTTAAAAAGGAAATTAAAGAGAACGCAAAAAAAAAAAAAAAAAA